GGTGACGTCGCTCCTCCTGGTCGCTCCTCCTGGGTCCAAGCGTGCCGCTCCAACCCTTTGGTCAGATGATCACCAGCCTCGCCTTTCCCGACTCGCTTCCAATACCTGGTCACTAAAAGCAACTATACCGATCTCGGTCTGTCTACCCACGCTGTGTTTAGATCTTAGACAGACGGGACCAGCAGGGATTGGGGCCGATACAAGTTGAGTCCGACAGGGTGGCAAAACAAACAAATAAAAAAAAAACTCACGACACAAAAAAAATTGCTGATGAAAAAGGGTAACAACCTTTTATATCTTAAAGTCCGTTACATAAAACAAAAAGTGTTCTCATTTCCCGACCCGCTCTGTGGACTATGGCACCAAGCTTCTATCACACAATAAAAAAATGTCGAATTACCTACTTTTTAGAATCATGTATGTATGTCGGAGTGTGGTTCAGTTCGACACTGGGGCTAATTTCTATCGATCATTCGCAGTTGATTCTTCTCTCCGACTTGAGTTGTATTTCTTCTTCTTCGTCTGCTTGGGCTGGTAGTTTTCCTGTTTCAACTTGGTGGAAGATTTCTTGTTTCAACTTAGCCGCAACTCTGTCTTGTTTCTCTTCTCACTGCCGTCCGGAGCTGAACTTTCTTCTCATCGACTTTTGATCTTGTCTGCAGCTCAATTCTTCTCAGGCTTTCAGGCAATCTTCTTCTTCATCTACTTGGGCTGGAAGTTCTTCTTGTCTGAGGGTTCTTAAATGCTGCAGTCGGGGATGAACCTAACTTCTCATCGACTTTCGCTTGTCTGCATCTCCAATTCTTCTCAGGCTTTCAGGCAATCTTCTTCTTCGTCTACTTGGGCTGGAAGTTCTCCTGTCTTCGACTTGGGCTGGAAGGATTTCTTGTCTGAGGATTCTTCTGCCCGCAAAGGGGTTTGAATCGGGCCTTATGGGGCGTTCAGGCTCTTGCCTCCGGGGTCAACTTTCAACTCCAACTGCAACTCCAACTGCAACTCCAACTGTTGATTTCTGTCGACTGGGGTCCTGCTTTTATTGACGCCGCAACAAACTGGGGTGGGTCTGTCGGCGTCAGGGTTTTCTCGATAATTCCAAAAGTCGCATTATTTTGACTTCCATTATCGCTATTGTTTTCACCCTACTTCCTCACAGTGCCTTTGGTGGGGAGGCGCATATCCATCTTTCTTAGTCTCTCGTATGTCAGGTGACCGCTTTTCGACCAAATGCATTTCTTTTTCCCTTTTCTTCCGATCGGGATTTATTCACCAATTGTTGAAAAAACATTTCTTCTCCTTTTCTTCCGCAGGTCACGTGATCGTATTCGACCAATTGTTATTGATCGAACATTTCTTTCCTTTTCTTTCGCAGGTCACGTGATCGTATTCGACCAATTGTTATTGATCGAACATCCTCTCCCCTCTGTTTGCGGGCGTGGTTACATCGTTCTTGTTTAAAAAAAAACAAAATCCAATTTTGCCTTTTTTGCACGTTTTTGGAAAAATGACAATCTTTGGCTTTCTCTCACCTGGACTTTGTCAAACAGCCCGCTGCTAATTAGTCTTGACTTTAGAAAGGATCTTTTCCGCCTTCTTGGCGCCCTCTGTGAGCCAAAACAATTGTCCCTTTTTTACCTCTTTGTTTTTTTTTTTCCTGATAGTCAGAAAATCTTAATTATCTACATTGAAATGTCTCTACTTTATTATTTTGGGTGTCCAATTTTTAACAGGTCAGAATCGTTCCACTGGTCCTCCCCTCAACCCAAAAACACTTTTTCTCTGATTAAGATTTGTTTCATTGTTCCCAAAATTTCTCTTTATCCAAATTGATAAGGTGTCTTTCACGCAAAAAGTAGGCCAAGTGCTTTGACCGACATGGTTTTATCAAAATGACGTTTTGATATCATCATGGCCTTTTTTTATTACCCTAATTCTATTCTTCCAATTGTCTTTAAAAAATTCGGTCAAATTGGTCAGCTCTTATATTTCTCTTGTTTTGTTTTTTCTTTTTCTTCCTTCCTTTGTTCTTTTTCTTTTTTTTTTCTTTCCTTTTCTTTCTTTTAGGATCGTCTAGTACAATCTTAGTGAATTATTTTCAACTCAATTATTTTCCGTTTTTAAAAAAAAATTAACAACCTGTTTAATAAACCGAGTAAGAAAAAATTAAATCATATTTCTATGAATATTTCTAATAATGCAAGGTGCCACATATTAATATATATGGATGAGGAAAAAATAAAAATATATATAAAATATATATATATATATATATATATATATATATATATATATATATATACACTATAGTAGACTTGGCGTTGCCCAGGGATGTAACAGTAAGAGATAGAACAATTAATGACCATCATAAAGACTGAAAATTAAAATTGACAAAGATTATTGTTTAAGGTTGATGGACACACATTTCTTAATTATTTTTTTTTAAAAGGAATTGGTCAAACTCAAACAAAAACATTGTTTTCAATGTTGTTATGAGTCTACCGATTGAATAGAATTTTATTATAAACAATTGTCTTGTAAATGGAATTTTTAAAGCATTCTGAATGTAAAAATAAAGACAATAAAAACACTACCTAAAAAAAAAAGAAAAAATGTGAAGTTTTGTTGAAATGAATGGTTTGAAAAAATGTGAAAAACCGATCCCATATATATAAAATAACACAGACATTTTTTAACAAACAACCTGGGTTTTATAATGAAATAACTCGATAGAGTTGTCCCCTTTCATTCATCTTGAATTGTGTTTTCAAATTGATTTCATGCAAAAACAATTGTGTTTTTTTCAATTTTAACCTGTCAGAATTTTTGGTTTTCCATTTTACGTAGTCCTTCAAGTTTTTTGGAAATTTTTCAAAAAGGTAGGAAACTTTCGATCCAATATATAAAAAATTTGTGGACACAAACACACACACACACACACACACAAACACAACCTCCTTTTTTTATAATAAGTATGATACATAAATACACATATATTTAGCTATTTTTAAAACCACCCAAAGGAGTGCCTTTTTTTAATTTTTGCAGAGGGCTCTTAATTGGACCTTCATCACAATAGGTAGGGAATGTAGATAAAAATAGGCAACAATAATAAACAGAAGAACTCAAAATTGATTACTGCATTTAAGTATTACATTAACACTATAAGCTTACCTTTTTAAAGTTCAACAATAATCCTTCTGCTGCAACTTAATTTAAAGACAATTTCATGTCGTAAATTTATAAACTTTACATACAAACAATAATTTTTATTTCATGGGTGATTTTTGTAATTAACTTTGATCATTCCCAAATTTATTTCAGAAACCTGTTATCATACAAAAAAATTAATTGTAAAAAATCATGTTTAAAAAAACCCCCAAAAAAGCACTGAAAACAATCGCAGTTATGAAAACTTGGGAATCCAAAATTTCAGCATCAAGTGGGTTGGTCTGGCCTGGAATGTTTTTAATTTGTTCACGGAATCGGCCTGATTCTAAAATGGTATAATGAAAACGGCCACTATCTTTAAAAGTTGAAAAATATTGACATATTGACACATTGACATCACATTTATTATATATATATTTATTAAAAGCCACCCTATTGGGTGTTTTTTATTCTAATATATACCTCCAAAGATTTGCTAAAAAAAATGAGTATATATGATGAAAAAATGTCCCAAACTTAATAAAAACAAAGTTTTAACATCAAAATCTTTGCAATTATTAAGACTAAAGACCAAAGGATTTTTGATTATTTTTTTTTTTTTTTTTGCGTTAGTGGGTGGCCATAAATTGTATTAACATAAGAATACCAGCATGACAAAGCAGACACCTTTGCAACAACTTTTAATACACCAGCAGTTGACCTAGAGAAGTGAAAGCTATATTACTTATCTGAAAGAACCTGTGAGGTGACATGCTGAATCAAAGAGGTAGAAAGCTGATAGAAGGATCAGCCAAATCACCTGGGTTATTAAAGACAGGAACTGTAGGAAAGCAGGAAGTAGCAAGGCATTTATTTAGTTTAGAACATGAGCTAGTTCAGGATATTTCTTAAAATTTCTTAAGGTCTATTGCATGGATACCATCAAGTCCACATACTTTGTGGGGATCCAGTTTAGAGATGAGAGCAGAAACCATGGACAGATAAATCAAGAGTATCATTGGAAGAGAATTTATGAGTGAAATATTTTGCTTTATCAGCAGAAGATAACACCTCAAATTATTTAACACAACATTACAGAGCCACCAATAGTCATAAGAAACAAACTTGTTTGAGGCTATATGGTTCTCTTTCTTTTAAAAAAAAAAGTATTACAAGTGATCCCTGATTTGTTGTGATAGGCATTTTATATGAATGTGCCAACTAGAAATAAATGATTAAGTTTTAAAACTTGTTTCTACTTTGGTTCTTCATGTAACATGATTGACTGGGTAGACAAACTTTATTGCACTACTTTGCCATTTATTATTTAATTTATTTGTTACTTTCATATTTAGTATATCACCTCTTGATTATAATGACAACCTGCTGGTAATGTAAGCAAATTCAGACAACAGCCAAGGATTAAATACTATTTTGATTGAATTTCTCCATATTCCAGTTTTTGTTTCTTTTTTCAAACTTTTTAGTTCACACATTCTAAAATATAGCTTTAGTTGTTTCACTACCATATTGTTATCATTTTAGTTGCTTGCCTGTTACATTTTAATTTTTGCATTTTGTCTTGGTGTTAAGTGAAGAACTTGATGGTTTTTCTTTTTGAAAAGAAATGATCATAAATTTTTATTAGCTGTATATTAATTTTGTTTTGCTTATATTTTTCAGTTCAAAGCAAAGTGTCCATCTTGATAAGTTGGAAAGAAGGTGATAAAATTGCATCTCTGGTGGACAATGGTACCAAAGTGTATGTAGACATCCAACCAGCTCCAAACACTCCACCTACACAAAATATTAGCCGTACTTCTATCCTTTTTGTGTCCATATCATTTATTGTCTTGATGATTATCTCCCTCACCTGGCTTATATTTTATTATATTCAGAGATTCAGATATGCTCATGCAAAAGAACGACTCACAGTAAGTTAACATTCTTTTTGCTTGTCATTAAACAAAAACACATTTTTAACACAACAACTTAAAATGCCTTTGCTTTCAAAATTTATTTGGTTATTAAAATCTCTATCATCATTTAAAAACAATTTTTACCACCTTATTTTAACTTATTTTTTTCAGTTGAAGATTATATTCATATATTATAGTTTTAGATCATAACTTTTACTGGTGTCACATCTCTTTCTATTGAAGCAGGATAATATAAATTTAATGCACAACATAAGGAATGGTGAATCAAAGATGTTGTTACCTACATAAATTTTGCCACTGAAAAGTTACTGAATAAAAAATGTTATAAAGTTGTTCTTTTATGTTTTAGTTTTGATGAAGTCTAAGTATTACTTTAACCAGAGATACTAACTAGATGAGAATGCTGTATTAAAATTTTCTGTGAAAAAAGGTATGCATATAAAAGAAAGGAAAATAATTGTTAGTTTTTAATTTTATTATTTTTTGCTTTTGACAAAAGTACCAGTTATAATAGTTACTCTTTTATGCTGACATTTTTTCTTGATTGAATAATGTAGACAAATTCTTTTTCTCCTTAGTTCATTTACTCATGAAAGCTAAACAAAAAAAGTTTTAAAAAAACTTTTAAAATTTATTACTTTGATATAATCATTTTTTTTAAATTCAGTTAGCCATTAAATTCAAAACCATAAAATCTGGGTAATGAAACATTCATGTCTTTCTATCTAATATATATATATATATATATATATATGTATATGTATATGATGAATTGGGATCACAGTCTGACAGGATAAGATAAGGAACAAATAGAAAACATATATTTAACATGTTTCACTTTTATTTAAGTTTCTTCATAAAATGAAATGTGGAGTAGAAAAAATTCTCGTATTTTTTATTTTTGTATTCTTTGATTTTCATTGATTAAGTAGACTTCACATGTATTTGTCTTGTCAAGTAGCTTTCTTGATAAATATTTTTAATTTTTATGTATGTATTGTTTGCCAATAAATAAAATTGGACTAATCAAAGGTTTTTACTTTAGAGCTCTTAGAATATATAGTCCAGAATACTTAGATGAAGAAGAGAATACATAGAAAAAACATTTAGTGTTTCACTACCCACATTATTTCATCCTCAACACTAGGAAAGCTAACCCAAAAAAAAAGATCTGTAACTTTTTCTCTCCCAACTTTGTTTCTTGGTTCTAGCTTTTGCCACAAAACCTCTAAAGCAGGCACCCAAAAAGTCAGGGTCTTCAAGAGATAACATATTTCTATTGGCAACACCATTATTATGAAGTGAGATTTCCTTTGTATTTTATCAATCCAGCAGTAGTCATTTATCTTGTATACTGAGAGTTCCTCTATTCTTACTGCTTGTGCATTTATGTAGTCGATGCTTTAGCTATGCTAATTAGGCAGTCATTTACATATCTCTACAATTTCCTTGTGACATTTTAAAATTTTCTTTTTATATCTTTGTTCATTTTTATAGATTTTATGTTTATAGTTGTTATTCAACAGAGCAGTCACTTAACTTCCTGTTTGTGTGTATGTTTTTTATTTTATTTTTATTTTTTGCATTGTTAAATCTATTAAAGATGAACTGAAGGGTTATAACTTGTGTGTGACTACAGTAATTCTACTAATTAATCTAAATAATATATGTGTTCCTTTATGAATAGGTTGTTATACACATGCATATGATTGCTCAAAAGAACAAACTAAACAAGTACTGCTGGTGAGGTGAAAGAAAAAGAAGACATGAATTGTAAATATAAAATTCTTTTGTATTGCCAATACAGCAGATATGAGCAGAATGTTTCTAATGTACAGTGGGGAAAATAAGTATTTCATCTCGCTGCTAATTTTCTGAGTTTGCCACCTTGCAAAAATAGGAACAGTCTATAATTTTCAGTATAGGTTTGTCTTGAAAGTGAGAGAATATAAAAAAAATTCTAGAAAATTGCATTATATTAATTTTTGAACATTTATTTCTTTTTTATTGAAAAGATAAATATTTCACCCCATAGCAAAACATAACTCGGTTCTTGGTGAAGAAATCCTTGTTTGCAAGCACAGCAGCCAGATGTTTCCTGTAGTTGGTTACTAAGTTTTGACAGATCCCAGTGGAGATTTTGGCCCACTCCTCTTTGCAGATCCTCTCCAAATCCTTAAGGTTTGTAGGTTGTTGTTAGGCAACTCGAAGCTTCAGCTCCATCCACAGATTCTCTAAAGGATTAAGGTCGGTGAATCAAGTTGATGCTTTTAATTGAGCTTTTAAGCTCGATTTTAGTCTCGTCTGACCACAGCACTTTCACCCAATCCTCCTCTGAATCATCCAGGTGTTCATTTGCAAACTTCTGATGGGCCTATATATGTGCCTTTTTGAGTAGGGCGACTTTGCCATATAACGTTGTGTGTTACTAATGGTCATCATGGTGACTGTGGTCCCAGCTGCCTTGAGATCATCAACAAGCTCTTGCTGTGTAGTTTTGTGTTGTTTTCTAATCTTTCTCATCATTAGGTTCACTACATGTTGGGAGATCTTGTGTTTAGCTCCAGACTGAGGGAGATTGATAGTCAATTGGTGTTTCTTCCATTTTCTTATTATTGCACCAACAATTGACTCTTTCTCACCTGCTTGCCAATCGTCTTGTAGCCCATTCCAGTCTTCTGCAGGTGTACAATTTTGTCCCAGATGTTCTTAGACAATTCTTTCGTCTTGCCCATTGTGGAGAGATTAGATTCTGATTCATTGAAAGATTCTGTGAACTAGTGTCCTTATTACAGGTAAAGAGTATTCAATTAGGAGTAATAATTGAGTAATAGGACTAGTCTATATGTCTCCTAGTCACATAACCGGTTTGTGTGTTCTGAATCATTGCTGTTTGGTATGGAGTGAAATATTTTTTTTTTTTTTCAATAAAAAAGAAATAAATGCTCAAAAATTAATATAATGTGATTTTATAGAATTTTTTTTTTATATTCTATCACTCATTTTCAAGACAGACCTACCCTGAAAATTATAGATTGTTCCTGTTTTTGTAAGGTGGCAAATTCAAATAATCGGCAATGGGATGAAATACTTACTTTCCCCACTGTAGGCAAGGGAAGACAGCTTTTGAAGAAAGGGTAGAGTTGGTAAGGCCTGGAGTTGATGCTTTCATTGGGTTGGTCGACAGACTTCACAGTGGTGACATCAAGAGAGGCCTGGAGTGAATTTAGTGAAGCTTGCTGTCCACCATGAATCTGTGCCAATTGTTTGTGAGTGACTTTCTTAAAAGAAGTTGTAGTGGCTCTTGGACTTATCTTTTGTTCATGTTTATTCTTTGGTGGCAACATTTGTGATTGGCTTAGTTTATGTTGCTGTTTTATATTTTTTGAGAGGATTTGTTTTGTGGGCCAGATAAGATGCTCTGAGCCCCTGTGCAGAGGACAACTTTTTTATTTTGGGTTTGCTTCCTTAGCGTTCACATCCAGTTGACATGTAGAGTTAATCAGAAAGAGATCTAATTTGAAATGGAATATAACAGGTTATGCAAAATCTTCTAATTAATTTTGTTAGACATTTTGGTACTCAATGTTTTTCATTTAAGCATTTGGCAATAATTAAGTTTTAAAATCAAGAAATGAATTTGCTTGTTATACAAGTGTGTACACTAGTGTAATTATCCTCTGTTGCTCATCCTCTCACAAGTTTTTGAAATCCAAAAAAGGATATGATCCAAAGAATTAAATTTGTCAGAATGACATTTTGTTGTTCTCATTTGTAAAAGTATTCTTTTCTTCAATTACATTTTTTCCTTTCATTAAAATAAATGTAAGTTTCATAATGTGTGTGCTTTGGAGCTACTTGATATTATTGCAGCAATATTTTTTTGGCATTGACTAATTTTCCTTTTTGCATTTTTTCAATTTTCAGAAACGCCTGGCAAATGCAGCTAAGAAGACTATTGCCAAAATCCCTCAGAGGACAATTAAAACTGGTGATAAAGTAAGTACCTTTTTCTGTTTTGTAAATAGTGATTAAAGCTATTAATAAATACATAGATGCATTGTGTGTAAAGTTACTACTCTTATGTGTTTTCATAGAATAATTTAGTTTATATGATCTTCATTAACTCATCGGGATTGAACAAAGAGAAAAGCAAAGTAATAAATTTGATTTTTAAAAACAACTCTAAATTGTTTACTGATCAACATATATATTAATCTGTTTTCTTTCACTGAAATATACTAACATTTTATTCAAACAGTTAATAGAAAATTTTTACAACATTTAATGTATTGGATTTTTAAAAGAAATAATGTAAAGTTTCAGAAATTGTTGTATTACACGATTTGACACTATGTAAGCTTTAAGGACTACCATAAAATACTAATACTTGTGTATATACTAGTCATTTGCAATATATTTTATTCCTATTATGAACTTAACATTAGAAGCTATCATTTAAGCCTCACAAACATTAATATAATTTATATATGTAAATATAGAGGTATATATTCACTTAAATCAGATTGTTAAAAAGCATATTTATATAGTGTCTTCATTTTGGAAATATATGACTGTGGGGGTAACACAACAACTCAACTGATAATAGCAGGTAGGAACAAAAAAACCGCGAGGAGGGTAACTGACAAAACCGGTGTCACACGTCCAACCTTTTCACGAGCCAAAAGCCCTCTGATCTGAAACAGAAAAACACGCCTGCTTTATACAGCCGAGGACCGACCATGATTTTAATGCGAATGATGAGACATCGAGATTTCGTGTTAACTAACCGAGACCACCTGGCATAAAACATGGGTGGCGCCATTTTGGTTCCTTTTACCACTAGCAAACTGGAGTTTGCACATCGCACAGATTTGCAGGCGTTTCCGAGGTAGGCCATTTTCACAATTTTCCCCACACTTCCCCCTGATCTCATGATCACAAACAGGGCAAGGAGGTGGCGATCGTCGCCGTCGAGTCCCCCTCCGAAGGGGGACAACACAAGCTTCATCCTCATGCATGTTCTCGTCTGTGGTTTGAGTGTCGGTAAACACTGTGTCCGCCGGGAGGCTGCTGTTATCAGAATCACTGCCCTGCAGATCTAACTCCAAGCAGATTGAACGCTCACTACTCTCAGACTCGGAATCGCTTTCATCGCTCAGTAATGGTAGTGATTGCATCACCGGTCGCAAGTCTTTAATGTGACGAGGCACCCTATCAACTCTCACAGATTGCAGGCTGATAACATCTCCTTTTTTCAATCTCCCTCTGGTCACTTCTAGTTCAGGCAGCGGGTTGGCTTCGATGCCTTTCACTTGGACATGATATTTGTGCAGTGCATCAGCCGGCGCCGTGGATGGTGAAACGTTATCTTTCGGGGTGACATTATACCAGTAAACTGCCTCCGATACTGTACAGCCCTTTCTGGCTGCAATGGTTTTGACGGTTCTGTGGTTTTGCTCTACGATGCCATTTCCACTCGGCGAGTAGGCACATCGAAACCGCAGATGCACGTCCCAATTGTCCGCAAATTCTTTAAAGTCCCTACTGGTGAATGCAGTATCGTTGTCGGTCAGTATTTCCATGGGTGGGCCTCGCTCCAGGAAAACATTCTTCAACAGTCGAATGATGGTGCTCACATCTTGTCTGCGCAGCGGCCACCATACGGCAAACCTAGAGGGACCGCAATCAATAAGCGTTAAAAAATTCTCACCATTGTAGTGAGTTATGTCCATCGCCAGTCTGCTCCAGTTGCTCTTCACGCTCAGTTCTCCTCTTTCCCAGTGAACGGGTGCCAGATTGATCGACTGACAGGTTGTGCAGACCTTCAACGGATTTAACGCTTTTCTGGACACCTGCGGGTTGACTAACCTGGCGAAGTACAGAGTTTGTTTCACACCCAGATGTCCGCTTCGACGATGGGTATTGGCCACCTGGTCCTTGTCCAGTCGTCTCCCTACCACTGCACAGCTCTTGGGCGCCGGTTCTCCTCTCTTGAGCAGTTCTAGCCACCTGTGCGGTACTCTGGTGAGGCGATCCGCACAGTTCTGACAGGACTGTACGAGTGTCACGTCTATGGTCAATCCATATTCTTCCACCAGCGATCGCAAAATGCCCAGCCGTCACCTAACCAGCATCTCGCCAGCCGCCCTTGTGTTCACCTGTGCCTTCCCGGTCAAGGTGTCGGAAATCCACAGGTGCACACATGCCGAATCAGTAACCAAGTGCAATGTTGTCGCCTCCCACTGGAGAGCTAGATTCACTCCTTTAAGCGCCGCATTGAGTTCAGCTAAATTAATATGCCTGGCCTCATTAGTCGGACACAGCCAACACGCATCTTTGATGACATTTCCGTTCGCTTCCAATGCTACTCCTGTTGCCACGGAACTCGCATCCACCCAGACTGTGATCTCGTCACCACTCATGCACCAGTATCCTCCAATGGGATCCAGTTCCCGCACTCTACTTAACATCTCCGCTAGTATGTGACAGAGAGAGGGATCTTTGATGTTATCATCCCATCCATTGGTTGCTGCGGTTGCCAGGCACTTGATGAATGCAACTGCCACCCTGAGCCATCCACACAAGGGGAAATGTCCAACAAGTTTCCCACACAATGAAAATACGCACCACCGGGTCAACACATCAGGGACTTCCGGAATTTGACTTCCTCGTTTCCATCGGAGGGTGCCATTTTCTTCCCAGACTTGCAAGCCAAGAACTCTTGCTCAATCTCTCAGTCGCACCGGATCCTTGCACACCAAACCGTAATCTGAAAAGTGTTGTCTTACATGCGATGCAGAGGCCAAACTTTCATTAATGAAAATATCATCAACGTATGCTGATGTGGCACTTTCAATTGTGCAGTCTTGCGATGTGATGGCATCTATAACAGATTTCATAATGAGTGGCGCTACATTTAGCCCAAATCGTAGCCGCGTAAGACAGAAGCGTTGGCCTTTGAAAATAACCGTTTGAAATGGCCACAGTGCTTCGTCGATATGAATCTGAAGATATATGTTCCGCAGATCCAGAAGCGACACATTGACCCCCTGCCACCGCCACGTTCTCAACTTATGTGCGCACACTTCTAAATCGGCAGTAAAAACATCCACAAAGTCGTTCAATTCGCGGTAATCGAGTACTGGATGCACCTTCTGTTTCTGCTCCTGCACAACTGCCATCAAGGGAATCAGGCCCTTTGGGGGTCCCAGTCTTTTCTGGGTGTACGGAATCAACCAGCCGTTCACAATCCACTGTTGAAGCTCTTTCTTGTATTTTCCTCTGATGCTGTCGGGAACTTTGTACTCTGCGACCTTGTTGTGAAGCTAAACTGGTGGGTCTGTTTGGGCCTATTTCCACCAGGCGGTCCACACCCTCTTGTCGGAATTGAAAGAGACGTCGAAATCCGGCTCACTAATGCAAAGGGCTGCACACACCTTTCTTCCTTTACCCAGTTCCACATTTCCGGCTGGCGTGATTATCATGCCTCCTAACCCCAAGCAGCAGGTTGTAACTGAGGGGCCTTTGACGTGCCACCAAAACGTCGACCTTGGCATGATTCCCTCCGTCTGTGAGGATTGATACAGTCCTAACACCACAACAGGCCCGGGACACTCCGTCAATCATCCGAATCTCGATTTGTTGACTGCTCCATGTCACGCATCGATCCACACTAACGATCGATCGGGAACATCCAGTGTCAACAAGCGCCGAACATCGTTTACCCTCAATGCACACGTTGACAACAGGCAATGCCGCATTTACTGACCGAGAGGGGGCAAGGGTTGTCACAGCACCTTGTCCTCGGACTCGTTTCCTGAGCAATCCTGTGCTACATGGCCTAACTCTTTGCAGCGATAGCAGCGTAGTCGTGCTCGTGTCCGTCGGCTGCTCCTGCCTCCTACGTCACATCGGCTCTGGCAGTCCCTAGAGAAATGGTTGGGTCCACCGCACTTGTAGCACTTTGGGCCCTCCCGCTGTATCTCAGGCGTTCACACGGTTGCCGCGACCTGTTCCGTGTCTTTCAAGATGTTTCGGGCCCTGGCTAGCAATTCGTCATTTCCCAGTGTGTCCAATCTTGATGACGCTCGCAGGAGCCGATTGGTGTCACTGGGAAGTCCTGCCAGGAAAGCGCATCCCAGTATGCGCTCCGCCAAACGGTACTGCCAGCCTTCAAAAATCAGCCAGGTAGACATCCACAGTCTCACCCGGCTTGAGCCGTCGTCCGATGAACTGTTTCCAAGCAATGAAGGGGTCTATTCCAAAGGCCGTATATAGGGCACCCTTGATCTCTTCTAGGTCAGCATCGTCCCCGAGTTGTTGATATACGGCGTAGGCTACCCCTGTGAGTCTCAGTGGGATGACCAGTGCTGGTTCCTTTATTTTGGACACCCTGCAAACACGTTCGGCCTTTTCAAACCATTCGACGACAGTCGGACCCATGGGGGAGCCGTCGAATTCTGGGATCAATTTTAGATCAAACTTGTCCATAGCCGAAATAGCTTGTGTCGGTAAAGCAATGACTCAACTGATAGTAGTAGTGTAGATGTTTTTTCTCATTTACTTTCTCAAACATTATTTTTTTAATATAAAATAAAAAATCTCTGATTTTTTTGTTTGTATTTCCTTATATTTTTTTAATAGATATTAATACATGTTCTTTTGAATATTAAATAAAAAGAAGAATATTAACTAAAAAAATAAAAAAATTAAAAAAATATATGTTTAATATATAAATAATTTTTTATATATATTTTCTTTCTAATATAAATATATAATTATATCTTTTAATACTGAAGTAATAGTGATTTTGTTAATATAAGATAAAAAATTTCCTATGTCTATTTTCCTGAAAGAAACTGAGGTGTATATTATAAGTCAAGGTCATGGCTACATGTATCTGCCTCCTTTTACAATCCCATTGTCCTGACGTTAATACCTCCACCTTTCTCCATTTCTTCCTGTCTTTTTTGTCTTTTCACTATTTTACTCTTTCC